ATATTATATTATATGATAAAATAATAATATTAGAGTTATTAATATAATTATGATATTATTTGTTACAATATTACTATTATATTATATTATATTACGAGTATGAATTTTAGATTGGAAAGATTGTAAATTTTAAATTTCATTAAGAGTATTATGAGTATTATGAAAGTTTTATTAATTGTACTATGTTGATTCTCGCACAATTTAAAACCTAAAGTTGCTTTTGGGCTGCTTTTCATTTTGACTGTAAATTCTTCAAAAATCACTTTTAAAGAGATTTATCAAACACTAAAATCATTTTTTGTTATAAGCAGAAGCTAATTTTAAAAGTGAAAAATAATACCAAACTAAGCCCTTATCGGACTTGCATGGGAAAGTGTCGTAGGCACATGTGTGCTTTAGGTTTTACTTTAAAAAAATCATAAGATTTTGAAAAAAAAAATCATACAATTGAAGAAACATTAAAAAATAGAAAATTGCAAAGAAGAAAAAAGAACCAATAAACGAAGGTGAAGTACAAACCATTCAAAAAATACCCAAAAAAAGACAAATTTAAGAAAAATTATTTAAACAGGGCAATCAATTAAAATAATATTTATTAGGGTCTTATTTGAAAAAATAATATCTTAAAAGACTACATGAAAATATATGTTCGTAGGGATATATTTAAGAAAAAATATGTTAAAAGGCAAATTAAAAAATAAAATATGTTAATAATGAACGTGTGAAAATATAAAATTAAACAAATATCGATAAACGAACTAGCAAGCAAGCAAGGTGAACTACAAAACTTTTTCCAAGGTTATTATCCCTTCTTATGTAAACAATTCAAATCATTAATAATTTAAACTCTTAATTTTAAAATTTACCTTCCCTAAATTCATACAATTCAAGTTATTTTTTTACAATGAAAATAATTCAGATTCTACTTTTTTTTCTCTTCTCAATTTTAAATTTAAAAATGTTATAATTTGGTTTGTTTTAATTCCGATTGAGATTATTTTTTTTAATGTGTTCATAATAAATAGAGGAATAAATTATCATCCATATTGCATATTTTCTAATGTTATTTGTAATGAGATTTTATAAGATTGTTATAAAACTCTAATGACAGTTTTCAACACTTTATTCAAACATAATTTGGATTTTACTTCTAATTCAAATTACAATTTATTTGTGTATCCAAATACTAATTCGAATTGCAATTCAAATCGCCACCTGGTCACAATAACTTATTATTAACGACTAACAACAGCAAAATTTTTTAACAACATAATAATACCAAACTGACATATAAACTGATCACATTTATATTGTATAATACCTAAAAATTTTACATAAATATTTACTCTAAATGTAAAATTTATAGTTTTTAATGAACGGAACATTTTGACTATAATATAACTTTTTCTATAAAATTGTAAGTTATGACGCGATAGATGCATCTATTTTTGTTAACATTTTTTTCCATAAAATTGTAAGTTATAAGGCGGTAAGATGCATCTATTTTTATTAAATCATTTTATTGATCAATTTTAATGTCAAGATTAAAACTATTAAACATTGTTTGGTTTATGGATTAGAATTATGAGATTAGAATTATTTTTTATTTACGTGTATTTTTTATGAGAAAAAATACTGTAATAAATTATGAACTATGATTCAAATCATAGTATGAATCCCCTTATTAAACGTTAATATTTCAATTAAAATTTAATTAAATAATATTTCAATTAATTTAATATGTCAAAATTAAAATTCAGAAATAAGAGTATCATTATGTTCACTGGACTAATACTGTTATAATAACTTAAAACAAAAATAAAATAAAAAATTCCCCAAATTGAATCCCCAGAAAATAATACGGGCTTGTTCTTTTAGGGCCTGCTCACTTCACTAACTCCAATTTTATGATTTGAGTAAGAAAAGTGAACTTGGGTTATTTTTAATTAGAGTTGTAATGTGAATTTTGAGTTAAGTGTTTAGTAAGAGATTGATGTGACATTTAAAACTTGAGTTATGTGTTCACTTGCACACAACTAAACTCACCACTTACACAAGATATTGCATTGGATTTATCTTCATTTTCTGGACCTACATAAGCCAATGTTAAATACTCTTGCAAACATTTGATGTGAGGCAGCTTAAACAACTACACAACATTATGCAGAGGCATTACACAACTTCATTTCAAGAATTTAAAATGAACATGTTGTACACTTTAGTGTAAACGACATCCAAGTAAGGGAGACACAATGAAAACGACGAATGGGTGGAGTTGGCAGTGTAATCATCCACCGGGTTTAGGCAGAGGCACAAAACAATGCAACAAACTTGGCTTATGACAGTAAAGGACATCAAACAATGCCTAATGCCGTTCCCCATGGGCACCAAATCAAAAGACAACACTTGTTCCATGTAATTCTTGCAATCTGCTTATTCAACAAATAATAGTGATAAGATAACTCTAGTACGACAACAGGGTAGGTAATAAGCTTAGGTATAAACAACAACAGGAGAGACAATACGACAACAAGGTACAACAACAAGGGAGGCAATAAGCTAAACACGGCCACAGGACAGCCAATACGACAACAAGGTAGGCAAACGAGTTATATAAAATTAACTAATTATTGTATTATTATATATAAATAAAATGGACAAACATTTGGAAGTGAAACAATAAGCACTGCACGTGATCTAATAGCCAACAATCTTATTGCCCGCTGCAAGATTTCTGAGAATTGAAGAATGAAAGAAAATGTATTATTAGCATATGTTAAAGGTTTTCAAATTAAAAATAACGACAATCACCCAATTGGTGGGGACTTAATGAGCCTAGAGTGGGAAAAGGTGGAGAAATTAGTCATATTGGATCTCTCCAACACAGGCCGTATAGGAGAGATTCCAGAGTCCATATCAGAATCAAAGAGGCTGAGGTTTCTTGGTCTTAGTGATAACAATCTCTCAGGAAATCTCTCACCAAAGCTTGTCACATCAGGAGTAAACACATTTCTTTATCAATGTATCACAAAATAACACATTGTTGGGCCTTTAATAACACATTTCATTCTAGTTTTCATCCATCAAAGTTCTGTTTCTGTGTAAGTTGTTGGTAAACATATGTCTTATAGCAAGTAACTACTGTATGTCGGGAAGGAAATTTGCATCTCAGATTTGCCTAAGTATTCAAACAACAAAACATGCTTCATACCATTGTATTTAGTGAAATTGTCAAAACTAGCGTATGAAGAGCTTCTAATAACTCAAACAACTATAGAAAAGTATGCAACGGCAATCATACAACTTCATGAAATGAATTTAAAATGAACATGCTAAACTT